GCATTGAATGGTGATAAGTACATAACAATGGCTGATACATAACAGCAGTGAATAGTAGTAAGTATATAACAATGGCTGATACATAACTGAATGGTGGTAAGTATATAACAATGGCTGATATATAACAATAATGTGTTGTGGAAAGAAAATACAAATAATATAGTAAACAGTCATAAAATCAGCCTACACTTAAATTCATTAAAAAAACAATACATAATCAATTCTAGTGTGCAATGAGAGGAACACAGTAAAATGGCAGTTTACATTTTTTAAAATAAGTTTAGACAACCAATAAAAGTTACAATTTTAACAACTGAATCTGAAGTTGCAAACAGTAAGTTCACACTGTTATTTTCTTATAATTCTGAATATCAACAATATCTGTATAAATTATGGCTGCTTAAAGTATATTTTGAATTATTTCTTGAATATTTTTTCTTGACCAGCAATATTTTTTGATGCCATTAAAGCCTGAACTATTTAGCCTAAGTAAAAAGATAACAGAAAACTATGCAGAATCCAACACGTTATGCTGAAACAGTAAACTGATCTTAATCATCATGGCTTTACTAAGCACAAAGCATGCACTGATTCTTTTGAGGCATGTGATCATGCTCATACACCTTTATGTGCCTAATTAGACCCAAAGGATCCATTTTTTCCAAACAACTCAGTTTATCACATGACAAGAACCCCTGTTTGTGTCACGTTCATCATATAGTTATATGTAAAGAGTCATGTACATGGTCTGTTTATTAAATTACTGAAACAAAAGATCAATAGAGTACAAACTACGATTTGGCAAATCTGTAAGTTCTCTTGGAAAGGGTAAAAGTTTGAAGGATGAATCTGAGGAATGTGAAATTTTACTCGCTGATTTCCAATATGAAGCACTAGGCATGCACACAGGTTGGCACTTCACCAAAATATGTACTGGTTTCTTGTGGTGCTTTATGACATACGCTGTCTTTGTAAATAGTAGTTTAAAATTGAAATCAAGATATTAACTTTGGTGAAGCACTTAACCATACAAGTCAGAGTTGTTCTCCATTTTCACTACAAAATATAGACCACTTTTTCTTATTCCTTAATCAGTTAACAATGGACAATGAAAGTATTCAGTGTGTTATTTATGAATTTTTTGCTCACCTATGAACAAACTAAAAAAGGATCACACAAACAAGATGAAATATTTTGCCCAAAGTTTGCCCAGAGTAATTTCAGGATAAAAATTTTGAACTACAGACAATACTCATGAATAATTTATTTTTTTTAGATTTGATAAATCTATGTATGTATATCTGTATTGTTATAAACTCTTCAAGAATTTGAGATTAATCCCAAACTAATTGTAAAAGATTTTAAAAATGTGTTACACATCTTGTTTTTAAATAATTAATTTATTTAAACCAACCTCGTAACCATTTTGTGCTTGTTATAGTTTTCATGCATTACCTTTTAAATTAGTAAGCGAATGTTAACAAAATATGGAAGATTATCATTAAACATTACAATGCTTTCATATGCAAAATATAAATTTTTTTTTATAGTCTTAAAGTTTATTAAGCAATGTTTTCCCCATGTCTTTTTTTCTTTTCGCATGTTGCCTATCTATCATGCAAAGTAATATTCATTTTAAGATTAAAAAAAAATTTTAAGCATCAGAAAATTTTGAAATTTCACATGCAAAATCTTGATAATG